ATATAAGCAGCCTATAAATAAATACATTTCATAATAGAATGAACTGGACAGAAAAACAATTACATGAAACATATATAACTATAATCTTGCTACTGTTTTTGTGATGATGCCACAGTGATGATACCTAACCAAAGCTTAATGATATACCGTAGTAATATAATACACTTGGAACATTTGTACTTTATTGTTTCTAAAAAGTAATGTTTCAAGCTTTACTCCTGCCTTTTTCTATTGCTGTCAACATTTGGAAGGTACTACAGTTCTGAAGCTGCTTCTCACTGTATCTCAGATAAGCCTGTTTATGGTTCTACACTAAGCCCAGAATCAAACCTCCTATAAATTTAGGTCTCTTAGCATGAGGAATCTTTGGGACTGTTAATGACACTGTGAAATGTTCAGCTTCTAATAACCCAGTCATTTCTACTGCCCTTGAAGAAACCACGTTGGCCACCTTTCAATCACTGTATTTGGAAATGTGTGGAGGTCATTTGGTCATAGGCATCAATACCATCTTCATTTTTCCTATGAAAAACAATGAGCCCAGGCTAGCATTTATTGTTTTTGTGTATTGAAGAATAAAAATATAATCCTATACCTTTCTACTTGGAAGTAAGTAGTTTCATTATCACAATTGCTCTGGACTGGCTTTTATAGAGATGTCTGAGGGCACATCTCAATAAAACATTTTGCAAGGGTCTTTTTGGAGACAAACAAAAGTGATCATTGAGAATCCTTGATTAAGAGTTGCTACTGAGTGATAGCAAACATTTGTAGATTAATCAGAGTCATAATGACCTCAAGGGCAAAATGTGTACATATTGCTCAATGGAACTATGAAGATGGTTTTGCTAGGTTTGAAATGCAAGAATGATTATTTTAAAAAATTCAGGTACAGAAGAGAGTTTTGTTTATCTGCAGGGTACTGATTTTCAAAACCATTTGTAATGATTTATTCTCTAACGGCATTAAAAAAAATTAAACTACTAGTATGTGGGACACTTTTCCTACCCCACACCAAATTTCTATATATCACAGGGCAGAAAAATCCCATACTTCTGTGAATGTGCTTGTCATTAGAATTAAGTTATTTCAGAATACCTGCACACCTGGTGCCAGAAAACACATGTGAGATGGGAATTAACACTTTACAATTAACATTAGTGGTATTGTGAAACAGTTTTCTACCACAGTAAATAAAATATTGAGAACCAGCATGGTTTGAGAACACAGGGAGACCAGGGTTGGAGTCCCCAGTCTGCTACAAAACCCACCGGATGACCTTGAGCAAGTCACATTCTTGCCCAAGGAAGACAAGACCTAACAAATTCTGCCAAGAAAATTGCATGAAAGTTTGCCTTAGCGTCACCATAAGTCAGAAATGACTGGAAGGCACACAACAGCAATAACAATATAAATGTCCGCAGAAAGTACAGCTGCCCCACCACCACCACAAGAAGCCACCGTTTGTGTTAGCCTACTGATAACTAAAGCACTTCATCTTCAATTGTAGCTGTGTCTTGATGTTTGTCCCCTCCAGCTTCTGGTCTATCTTATATACTAGCCTGCTGCCTCCTGTAAGCTCCACAGCCTTTGAATGGTCACTTAAAAAGTCTGAGGCAGTTGATCTTTGGTGGTTTGGGAACAATAATTGTTTACACATAAATCTGAGTCTTGTGTTTCAACACCCTTTATTCCTTGTGGAGTTTAGATCCATGATACACCTCCTCCCCACAATGGATGGCTGCAAGCCAAGAGCACACATTTGAGTGTGTCCCCATATCAGGCCGACTGTTTGTGGCTGAGGAAAACTGTATGTGGATATACCTGCTTGGGTTTTTAAGTATCACTGCAATGATTTTTTTCAATATATCTAATTATTAGTTGGTTACAGTTATATTCCACCTTTTTGTCAGCTTTCTTCCTCTTTTCTCGATCTGTGCAACCAACCTGGAATGTAGGCTAAGCTGAGAAAAGGTGACTGGCTCCAAATCACTCAGTGAATTTCATGGTTGAACGAGGCTTTAGGCTTAAATCCAATTTCCATCGTCATTTAAAATAGATCCATTGAATCAGTTGCTGAGTCAGTGTGGTGTAGTGGTTTGAGCATTGGATTACAACTCTGGAGACCAGGGTTCAATTCCCTGTGTGGCCCTGGAAACACACTGAGTGACTTTGGGCAAGTCAAACCCAAGTCTTCAGAGTGGTATTCCAGCACTCAAATGACTCACCAAGTGTAGGCAACTTTTGCTTACCAGGGGCAGGAAGAAGCCTGGTCCCGAGTTCTTCTGCGGGCCAGGAGGGGGAAATGGAACCGTGCGCGCATGCATGCTACGCTGCAAGTACTGTGCATGCATGCGCACGCTCGCTCATGCGCAGTACTTCCGGTGTACTGCGTATGCGTGAGCGAGTCATGGCCGCCATTTTGTTTTCCAAAATGGCGCTGCGACTTGTTTGTGCATGAGGTGGAGTACTGCGTATGCGCAAATGAGATGCAGTCGCCATTTTCAAAATGGCGGCCTCGACTTGTTCACGCATGCGTAGTACTCCAGCGCATGCGCAAACGAGTCGCAGAGCCATTTTGGAAAACAAAATGGCGGTGGCAATGCATGCTGCGGTGACGTGCGCAAAATGGCGGCGGGTGCAGCGGCAGGGGCAGGACTGGGCTGGGGCCGGTCCAAAGGCCTCGGGGGGCCAGATCTGGCCCCTGGGCCATAGGTTGCTGACCTCTGGACTACACCATGCTGGCCCCTATTCCCATGTACTACCTATGAAACAATTGCAGACTTTTTTGCTATTCTTGTGTGTCTTTAAGTCTATTCCAACTTATGGCAACCCTAAGGCAATCTTATCATGGGGTTTTCTTGGCATGTTTCTTCAAATGGGGGTTGCCATTACCATCCTCTGAGGCTGAGAGTGTGTGATATGCCCAGGGTCACTTACTTGGCTGCAAATTGTACATACCCCAGAATGCATCACCTAGTATATTGGCAATCCTTCCCCCCAACACTTTCTCATTTCCCCCTCAACCATCTCATAGCTGGGAGATGGAAATAATTCTTTAAGCAGCATTTAAATTGGACTATTTTTTAAAAAGGTCCAAAATACACGGCAGAAATAAATGCTAGGGAACATGGGAGCTGTAGTTTGTTGTGTTTATAAGTGACCGTTTTCCTGCTAAGTACCTGCATGTCATAAGCATCTGAATTAAAATTACCAAATTGAAATCAAATCTGATGTTTTTAAAAATTTTATTTGGTGTGCGTTTGAAGTCTTATACGGCGAGTATATCCCAAACTCTATATTTTAACTGAAAAA